AGTAAATTATAATAAACTTTTCGTGCAGGCATAATTTGCAACGTATTTGAAATGTAAGGCCTACTCAAACAAAACAAAGTTTTTTTTTCGCCTGAAGATCGCTTTGAAAGAAGCGTGAAACACAGTGTAGCGACAAGAATTAATTAATTATATATATATATATATATATATATATATATATATATATATATATATATATATATATATATATATATATATATATATATATATATGCATGCATGCATGCTTGTTATAGAAATAAATATATAACCGGCACTTTGCAAGCATTTAAAAGTCTGACTATGAAGTCAATTCACGACGGACTTACGAGTATATGCAGCACCCTGACCGTGCTAGAATTTGTCTGACTATAGTGTGGTTTTAATTTCTTATCTATTCCTTATAGGATCAAGTTTTGCGGTGGTGTTGTTTAACAATACCAGTGGTATGGATGATCATACAAATCGAACAGTAACGGAATGATATCTGCAGTTGATCACTGAGTTCTATTCATTTGTGGACCAGCTTAATTTAGCGGATAAAATCATATTAATTTTTGTAGCTATTTGTACAATTTTGGGGAACACTTTAGTTTTTGTGGAAATCTGGAGAGAAAGAAGTCTCCATCAACCAAATAAATATTTCATTGCTTGTCTGGCTGTCGCTGATCTTTTGACTGGTTCAATTGTAGCACCATTGAGGGCGTATCGAGGCAGTCTGGATGTTGAATCGCGACGTACCATGTCTATCGACCTATGTCGTTTTATGGTGTGGATAGATACCTTTGCGTTTGCAGCATCTATTTATACACTGACATTCATCAGTTTTGACCGATATCTCACGGTCAAGAAGCCACTTCAATATAGATCGAGAATGACAACATCCAAATCATTGAAAATAATCTTTATCATTTAGTTGATTTCAACTGCCTTTGCCATTTATTCCGCCAATCCTCTTTCAGAAAGCATGGGAATCTTGTTAATAGGCAACAAATATTGCTTCCCTTCCAATTTTAATAAAAATAAAGTATTCTATACTTTTACAGGAGTAACTGCATTTTTTCTACCCACCGTGGTCATACTGGTTATGTACGCTCTCATTTTTGTTGTTGTTCATAAACGCCAAAAGATGCTGAGAAATGGCGAACTGGGTCAAATCTGCAATGATCAGAACCAACGAAGTGCATTTCATCAAGATCTGAAGGCTATCCGAATGTTATTGGTCGTCGTAGGAGTGTTTATACTTTGTTGGGGTCCTTACTTTATTACTATGTTGCCTTTGTTGTACTATGAAAATTCGAATGAGTCGGATAGCAGATCATTGAGCGACCAATTGAGCGACAAGCGTCGGTCTCTCATAACTGAAAAGGTACTATTTAGACTTCCTTATTTTAACAGCCTATGCAATCCAATAATCTATGCCTGTATGGACCAAACGTACAGAGCGGCTTTCAAAAATCTACACGTGTCGACCAAGCTCAACAAGACGACAAGCACCTGAGGCAATAGAACGACCTCCACAGAGAACAACATAAGACAACATTCCATTAAATTAATATACGAATACCGGATTTTGAGCGGCTAATCTGTATTATTACTGAAACTTGGTGTCCGGAAAACGTTTAACGTTATATAGGTCGTTGCTCTGAAAGTAAATTCGGTTATAACATGTGTTTATAAAATGCCGCGCTAATTGGAGATTTATAAACTTAGGATTCATATTTCTTTATTTCATATAGCTATAGTAGACAAATTTAGAATTTTGTTTTTAGCGCCAAATCGTGCTATATAAGTCTGTTGCTAAATATAATATCAAAGTTGTACGCGCAGAAAACTTAACATAAATACAAATATAACTAAATAAACATACGCAAGCAATCATCTCATTTAAAAAATGCAAATTTTGTTTTCAAACTAACGCCAGAATAAACGGCAAATATCTTTTCAAAATAACTTTTCAAAATATTTTTCGCCCACAAACAATAGCAAAAATGTCAGTATAAACGCTTACTTTTATAAAAGTTACTTTATAACACATTTTGTTTTTGAGCATTCAGCGTTTGAGGTGAACAATTAGATAGGTAGTGGCGAATGCTCTTTTTATGTATTCTTTTGAATCGGAATGAATGGTTCCATATTTTTACGATCTATACCATCATACAGCCTTCCTTGATTCTATGATGTGTATCGTCATGGAAGCGCGCCAACCCTGCTTTGAGTATCACCCCATACCAAGAACTCCCTTGACACTAACTGGGTCATTGCCATCCCCCCTGCCCTAACCGTGGGGCGGTTGACCGCCAACAACCCAACGCTGGCGCGACCAACCTCCTCTTAGAGCTAGAGGACGTCACCTTTATGGGGTAAAGTCTTGTGGTGCAACAGTTAATTAGATGCAACCTTAATAAGGAGCAGCTGCATGATGATGTACATGATAGGAAATAAGAGACCATGATGACTGTTGAGAAACATGTTTTAATATTACGGCTTAATCACAAAGGTACATAAATTCGATGTTAACCTGCATGAGTTATATTTAAATCACAGCTCTTTGCCAATCAGTGGTAGCGCTTTACAACTGATCCTATTCGTTTATCAGCTACGCTAAACGGCTGATGAGCTCGATTAAAGGCATATGGTCTTTCACTCACATAGACCTGAACCAATCTTTTCAAATGGAAAGAGGCGGTTATCGTAGCATTGCAAATAATCCTGCAGGTTGATGTTATTATATTCTGAAATTCCACCACATGAGCCGCTGTGTGGTACAGATTGCAGAGTGGAAGACTTCGTGGGTAACATGTTTAAAAGCAACAGTTTTTAAACAACAGAGTTGTTAAAACAACTCGAAAGTTTGCTCTAAAATATATCCGTGATGCCTTGCCCGAAAATGATAAAAATGTAAAAAATGTGACGATTCTGCAAATAATCCAGGCTGACCTGTATGTATTGAACTATGCATTAAGATATGAGGAACTTTGTTCTATACTGCTGCGGAGTGGAAACCCCTACGAGCGGGTAAATTTTTAAAAGATTAACAATTCATAAGTTATGAAATGCAAAGCTTATCACGAATGAGATCACAAACAGCGCACGGACCAATAAAATGCTCCAAACAAATTATGTATAATCTTAAACATGACATATTTGGGCGATCCTCGTGCGTCAGGCTAATTGTTGAATTAAAACGATACTAATAACGCACGAACAGCAAAAGAGCGGAGGCAATCAAGTTTCATTATACAATTAGTTTATGGTTTCCGTGTTTGGATGGTCTGATGCAAACACGCGGGAATTAATGCTACGAGAGTTAAAAAAGCGCGCGAACGAAGGTGAGTGATTTTGCACGCTTTTCTTAATTAACACGAGCAACATTCCCAAGTGTTTGTATCAGGCCATCCAAGCACGGAAACCATAAAGTAATTGTTTTATAAATAACAACTTTCCGTTTTAAAATTTCACTTTAAAAAACTTTCACTTTAAATTTCCGTGTTTGGATGGCCTGATCCAAACACGGGTTTCGACCAATCAGAGCACGCGTTATATACATGTTATTTTATAATCTTCGTTGCGTAATTTGCCTTGTTTTTCATTCCAAAATGGTTGACAAGTGACTGAAAAGCATATTGTTGATTTGTATATAAAATTAATTATTAACGCATGCATATAGATCGACATGTGAGAAAAGTAGCCATGCATGTGTGATTATAACGTGTTAGATATACGTAGATTGATTACCCCTGAGGTGCATACAACCATAACCATATTGTGTTAAGATACTTAATTAGTATCTTCTTGTAATTCTTATGAAGTGTCAATAGTGTAATTTAGTCAACACAAGCTGTATGCATAGTTTCAGTTATTAGGCAACCGGTAATTTCGGCCCATGGTAAGCCGCGCCGAGCTTAAAAAGATAATGTATATACATCCTAGATAATTTAGATGCTACATATTTAAAGGAACTTTATAATTCATTTTTGCTCAAGAAAGTGTTTATTCTACAAGGCTGTAGAGGTATGTTAACAAATTGTACTTAGTTGCTAGTCATTGCGCATGCAAGCAGCTAATTGAAATACTAAACCTGAAGCATTGAATAAATAAAAATCATTGTATAATAAACGTATTGAATTTCGTCAAGTTCAACATTATTTGTTCCTTATCAATTATCAGGAAACTAACTGTTGAAGGGATTCTGCAGATGAAAATTTTCGAATAGAATTTTAATAGGTTTATTAAACTTAAACAGGAGCATGAGCAGCAGTTATGAAAAATACAACTATATCGACCATCTTGCATGAATCGAACCTGCGCCCTGCGATACCGGTTCAGGACTCTAACCAACTGAGCTACAAAGAGACAGTTGCAAAACTCTAACCACAAGTTTATCCCTTCAACAATTAGGGATATCGAGTGAGATGCCCAATATCATGATATTTACTCATACACCTTACATTAATTCAATTTGGCAGTACTAGTGCTTAAAATCGTGGTTAGAGTGCTACACCGGAAATGCAGAACCGGAACTCGATTCCCGCCAGAGGGCCGATAGTTGCATATCTTGCAACTGCTCGAAAATTTCCATCTACAAATCCCTTCAACGATAAGTTCTATCGAGCGAGATGACCAAAATTCTGGTATTTACCCATACACCACCACATTGCCATCACCTTAGTATTTATGCATAGACTCATTCATTCTTTTACTATCACTTATAGTTGCTTTCATGATTCAATATTGGTACCATTGAATGAAAGAAAGAATGAAAGGCTGAATGAATGAAAAGTACTGCGGGATTTTTATGGAAATTATTTTCATCATCTCAAATTTCGCTGGCTTTTAACAAGCTGCCGAAGACGCTAGGGACTTGGGTTCTACAGCGTCTAATAATCTGATTTTGGACACAACCCAGCGGGCAAAATGACGTTTATCCAACGTTGAATCAACGTTGGAAATGACCTTCCAGACCAGAGGAGGTTGGACAGCTAATTAGCGAGTTGTCACGTGAGCTCTCGACCAATGAGATCGCTCTATTTTCCATCGTGTTATCTGCAGAATTTAGACAGAAAAATTTGCATTCGACGGAAAATAAATCGGAAAAAAATACTAATATTAAAATTTTCGTGCAAAATCTCAAGTGTTGTAGTACTACTACTAAAGATCTGGTGATATCTGCAAAAATCTCTGAGGTAAACTTTATTTTCAATGTTATTTTAATGTTTGAAGTTAGTCGACTCCCCGCGACGTGTTGACTCATGTCTAAATATGTTTACAATGTTTAAAATGAAATATCTAGAATTCCCATGGTTTGATTTTCTTCATTTTTGGTAGTCGTCAAGACAAAAATATAATCTTTAAATCTGCTGGAATGATCCCGGTGATCCCCCGGCAGTTTTCGAGATATTGGCTGTTGAAGTGACTATTGTCAACTCGACGTTCGCCAAAAGGGCGTCTAATACTTTGCGCCATCAAAGATGATATTTTCAATGAATTTTTGTTAAAGTGTTAAATTACTTTTAAAATATTGTTTATAAGACTTAGGAGTTGTTTTAGTATTTTTTTTAGAATTTATATCTCTGCGATTTTCCCAGTTTTGTTGGCTTTGGCCGAAGCGTTTCATTTTAATAAAGTAAGTAAACATAATTTGTTTCGGAATCTAACGTAAATTATTTTTATTTTGATAGGTTAAGATGGCTGAGGGCCCAAAAAGGCTTCATGACCCTCCGACTGGGCAAACTCCAGGAAAAAAACCAGAAAAGAGAAGATCTGGCGTGTCTGGAAGGTTCTTGAGGAAATCACTATTCCAGTCAGATACCGATTTAGAACAGGGTGTGGAGCAGAAGAATCAGAAGGTATCTATTTATAGTTATTACTTAATATATGTTATTGCATATTTACAGTTTGAGTGTGCACTTGATTCAACCAACCTTTTTAAAATAGAACTTTTCAACACCCTGAGCACTTTTTGGGTGGGCGTGTAAAGAATTTGTACCCAAAGTTATGGGGTGTACAATTATTACAGAGCCTGTATCCATGTGGTTTAACCTGTTGAGTGGTGGCACTCACACCCGGACAAGTAAATTTTTCCATACAAATTCCTGTTAAAACATGGGTGAAACCCTTATTTTTGGACCAACATCTGTAAAATTTTGGTCTATAAATTCTATTCAATTCCCTCTGAAAGCCCTGTAAGTTACTTCATAACTCTACATTCTATCATTTGAAATCTTTTATTGCCCTGCCAATCCAGATGATTCACCCTACCAATCCAGATGATTCGGGTTTTTTTTTGGGGGGGGTGTCACACCCCCATACCCCCCTCTAGTTTCGCCCCTGATTAAGTACCGGTATTGTAACATAAAAAAAAACCCACTGACACACTGTGCAATTCAGCAAAATATATCAAATGGCATGATACAGCTGTATAAATTGGGCTGTCTGTTACGATACACAGTGTCCTCTTAATATAAGTGAATGTCCTATGAATATGCATCTCATTTGCAAGTAATATTGTATGATTGTATACCGAGGATTTAAAATGGAATATTTTCCATGTGCAGGTACAAACTACATGTACGTGGAAAGATGAGGAAGTGTCAGCATTGGTTGAGTATATTGCTTTGTATTATTCACCTGATGAAAATTCATTCAACGTATGGCCAGCTGGTAAGAATGATGAACTATGGGGAAAATGTGCTGATGCTGTTAACTGTTACAACATCGGGAACAAGCGATCTGGTAAGTAAATCTGGATTAAGTCTAATAGAAATTATTTATAGTACGGTACCTGTAGCTATTATGAACTACCGATAATTCACCTAAAATACACCCACAGTATTTTATTGTTTTACTATTAACTTGATTATTACCAGGCAATTAAAATTATTGATTCAATATCTCTGTTATATATACTATTTAGGAGATGCATGTAGAAATATGGTTAGAAGATACTTAAAGGAGAAGTTCCCAACAATTGCATCTGCTGAAGAAGCTTATGGAATTTCCTATTTTGGTGAAAAGGTAAAATATAGACTTTTTATAGCAAAGTACTCTATATAATTACATCATGTAATTACTATTCATATCATACTGTAGGTATCAAATGCAGGCCAGAGTGTACCATCTACTCCACATGTTGTGTCTGGTCATACTACATCTGCAAGATCTCCACTGCTTGGATTTTCTCCCTTACGTGATGCAGATTTTACCAAACTTCCAGGCTGTATTCTTGATATTGTGTCCTCTGGCTTTTCAAATCTAACTCCACGACAACGAGAACAATTACTCATCCACTTGTTTCAAAAATGGATGGTAGAAGACATTAACCCTCGTTTAGATGCAACATTCGTCCCTCCACAGCTCTTACCACTTGTTGCCAATGCTATGTCTGTACTCCGTGCTGGTAATAAAGATAATCTGATTTATCACGCTGCTCTATGCTTTGGAGAACAACGCCATGGAGATGTTGGTCCTAGAATGCCATTGGATAGAATGCCCTTTGGTCTCATTGCACATAATCTGAAGTTTTTTGCATCCAACCAAGTTTCCAACCTTCAAGCTCCAGATGACTACAAATCTTGGTGTCAGTCCATGTATGCTTTGTTTGGAAACAAGTGGGCCTCAATGCACTTGGGGCCAATGTGGTCCTATGAGTTAGAAAGTGAGCATGTATCGGTTACTAATGATTCTTCATTAAGTTTAGATATCATAAGCCAAGCATTGCAAGAAACGTTTGGAGATGACTCGGATGTGGTAAGTATGGAAAACCCATTGCCTGTCCTGAAGAATGTGCAAGATACTAGCATTGCTGATGATGTGGCAAAGTCTGGAAGGGCCATAAAAGGAGACCCATTAAAGGTACGTAATAATTTAATGAGCATCAATGTGGTGTTATTAATGTGTTGTAGGGGTATATACTGTATCTAAAACATCCATGAGTAGTGAGTACATTGCAATTAAGATATCCAAAAATAGTAAAATACAGTAGTAATATTAACTAAATTCTTCCTCTCTCTGCTATTGAAGTAACTTTTCTCTGTCTCATAGGCCAAGATAAATATTGCTGGGCCATCTTCACGAACAATTCGAAGAATGACTGAGAACAATGATTATAGCAAGGGCACTGAAATTCAGGTATGTATGTTTGCTTATCAACAACTTATATATACTATATACACTATCTGTATACACTATATGATGGATGTATTTTAACAGACATCTGCTTTGAAATTTCTTCACAACGCCTACCCAAATGGAAGGTGGTGGTTGAAAGCTGATGGTACTGACATTCAAGAGGGACTCAGAGAATCAATGAGAAATGAATGGTCAGGTGATGTAGATTTAGGAGATGGTAAGTTAGGAATTAAGTATTCCAAATACTTAGAATACCTTAAGCTTGTTAGCAATATAAGATTGAAGGACAGGGCTTCCTCTGACAACATCAAAGTAGACCTTCAACAGATGTGTTCTAAGCTATCCACCGAGAGTGAATTCCTGACAAATGGTCATGCAGATGCCAAAAAGGATTACAAGAGTGTCCAGGATATGGCCAACTCTACAGAGAAAGCATTGTTTGCATGTGCGTGGAATGTAGAAGAGTTCAGTAAGTTGCTGGAGAAGAATGCGTACTTGTTGCAGTCTTTGAAAAACCTCATAAGCATCATTGACAGTGGAAACACCCATTCTGTAAACATCGGAACAACTCTGGTTAATCTACGTAAAGAATTACAGGATTATGTCAAAGGTACTAGACTATTATTTTTCAGGAATTGTATTGTAAATAAATTGTTAGCTTTACTTGTATGACACGTCATAACAAATGTTGTGGACAGTTATTGGAAAGTCCTTAAACATCACTAGATTAATTTAACGTTCTCTTATAAATTTGTATTAATATTTCAGGAATTACCTCAAAGACACGAGTGGCAGCATCTCACATACTGATATTCATGGTAAGTGATGAATTGAGAAATTTCAAACCATATGCTATTCCTGTTCGTGTTCTTAAGTACAGCAGTCTGACAGACAAGAATGCACGAGACCTGAAGGAAGAATTGAAAACTGCAATGGAAGACATTGGCATGGTAACTGTAGGTATGTACTAATTATGAGTATTTTTAATGTTGTATAGTTACTGTATTATCTCTATTAAATTAAGCCCCCTTTCTCAAATAAGCCCCCTCTCTAAAATAAGTCCCCTCTCTAATAAGCCCCCTCTCTAATAAGCCCCACCCTTTTAAGAGGAATAAATTTATTAAACACCCCTTTCTATTAAGCCCCCATCCCCATTCGTATCAATATAACACATTGTACAGCCCCTCCCCCTTCTAATAAGGCCTCCTCAATTTATATTAAATATTTTATCCAAAATGTATAGGCATGCTATATTACAGGTATGTATTTCATTCAAAGGTTTTGTTACTGATGGTGAGTTCAATTCATTGCGAACACAAGGTAAAGATAGACCTGTCTCAGTCATTCAGCTGATTATGGATGCCAAGAATGAAGCACGGGCGATACCGGCCAAGGAGATTGAGAAATTCTTCAAGTCTGTAAAGAAAGGTAATTATACTGTACATACCTGTAGTATTGTTGTATCATACCAGTAACATAATACCCTGTGAAATACAGTATATATAAGAAACTGCCATTTACTGTTAGTAATAGCTATTGTACCACGTAGCATGTAGTATTCTTAATTTGGTACAAGCTTATAATATTTGAGACATACTGTAAGTTATTTTGTTTAAAGATTTTATAAGCGAATCGTACAGGATTAAACATAGTGAGTTGTAGAGGTTCTCTGGCTAAAATATGAATTGAAATATAAGCTTTTGACTGCCAGTCTGCAGTCTTCAACAGGAATTTACAATGAAAAAATATATATACAGTGGTATAGAATACAGATTTTTGATCAAGATTTATAGCAAACCACTATATACAATTTTTTCATCATAAATTGCCCATCGTAGACTGCAGACTGGCAGTCAAAAGCTTGCATTCTGTATTCAAATAAATGTTTTAACTCATGCAGAACATCTACAGCATGAACTCGCTAAGTTCTTTTGTGTTCTGTGATTAACAGAAGGTGTAGTTTTGCCTGTGAAAGGTCACAATGCTATTCCGTTGGGAGATGTTCAGTGGTTAGCTGAGTATATGAATGGTGAACCCAAAGTATCATTTCTCAATGCAATCAGGATACTTCGCAGAAAACACTTTCCGTTTTTTTATGACCCACACCCTTGGGTTGCAGGTAAAGTATATCTACTACGACACGATAAACATATGCCACAAACTGGAGTTACTGTTACTTCTCAATCTTTCAACTTTACTCATTTACAATTTTAGCTACAATATCAAGATTAATCTCAAATAATTTACCTGTACTTGTAATATAATTTATGTACAGTAAATTATATTTTTTTCTGTTATGTAAAGGTAAAACTGAGTCGAAATCTGACTGTCTGAAATCCCTTATGGCGATGTACCTCTTCAAGAATAAAGTAAGTATGTACTGTGCACAAGGTGTTAACTTTCAGGATTATTTGTATGTGCCAGAGGTAAGTGAACGCACAGGTGAACCTCAACAAGAGCGTGAAGATCACAACCATGTGCTGAAGAGAATAGCTGGCAGTTTGAGAAAGGGGCATATCCCGAATGTGGATCTTCAAGCATTTGTCAAGGCTATGAATAATGCAGAAACAGGTTTGACCTACACTGCATTGACAGGTAAGAGAAAGCAAAGTGTGGGTGACGCCGAGAAATTGTTGTCACATGCAGTTGCTAAATGGTTGAAAGCTAACGGTTTCTTGAATGAGGGTAGATTTGTAGAGATTGTATCAAACTGGCACAAGGCAAGTGATGGTCGTGGACTGGCGGAAGCTGACCGTAAGAAGTGCAACCTGGCGATGTTGGATTATATATTGGAAGACTGGATGCCATGGTACAAGGAAGAAAGAGATTATTCAACATTAGATGTCAACAGGTACATGTGATGTGCCCTTCTTTGTTCTTTTACTCTGTCTAATGCCAGACAATTTTACCTGTCAAGGGGATATTCTTGCGCTTTAATGAGTTAATAGAATTTTATAAAATTGCAATAATTTTAGTGCATATTGGACATACTGTAATATACTGTATTGAATTGAATGTGCACTTTTGTTAATTTATAGACCTATCAGAGGAATTAGAGGATTCACTAGAGAAGTTGTGGTTGCACTAACAACGAATATTGAAAGTCAGGTTTGTTGATAAATGTGCCTTACACAAATGTGTGAAAAAATGTGCAGTCATTTCATAATTACAGTATATTATTATTACAGGAGTTCAGACGGAGATATGGACTTGAAAAGGGGCTCCTTCCTGAACATTCAAGAGCAGGATCAACTGATGATGTTGAAGGCATTTTTGCTTTCTTGCATGCACTGCTTGGACCAATTTTCGATGAAAAGGATTTTCATGATGCCTTCCCGAAAGTTATTAGCGAGTACACCAAGAAATGTGATCCTGACTTGCCCTTTTACTACTACACTGGATCCAATGACCGATACAATGACGGTTTATATTAGTACAGTCATTTAATGTGCCCTGGAGCAGTGGCGAAGAGCGACTGGATAGTGTATCTATTTCTAGACGAGCTGATCCTGGGGTTTTTCTGACAAATCGAGCTGTGATCCCTCAGCGTGGACAACTCAGTGTTAGAACAGCCCATTTTAAACCAGCAGAGAGCTTGCCACCACCACCTGCTCCATAGAATCCTGTGGTAATGATTTGTTAACATTAATTACAGTAATACTGTATGTAGCTTGTAGTTTAAAATGCACATCACAATTATTGTATGTGTACACATGCATGTGTAATTTGTATACCTATAATTCCATGGATTTGAGTGCAATTGAGGGGAAAAAACATGCACAATTGAGTTTTAAAAAATCCGAATGACAACGTAAGTCTCACTAGTGTATGTTTTTCCAAATTGCATGAGAAACCATATTACTTATTAATTTAATATACATGAAAGAATTATGCAGTCACATATGTGCATGAGTCACATGTGAAATAGTTCATTTTAATATTAAGAAATATCTAATTTTAATAGAAAATCTGCTAAAAATGCAATCCGTTTTTGTCGAATGTAAATGTTTGGGTATTATTTTCCTGCTAGAAATGGCTGACTGTGTATCTTATAGTCAATAAAATTTGCACTGCATTTCATTTTTGCCAGTGTATTTCAAAACAATACACTGCTCTTAGCCAATTAGAATTGAGAATTTTTTTCAAGTATATTATCAAGTAATTTACAGTGTTTTGTAGTATGTGGCAATACTACAGTCACTTAGAGATGTCCGTATTCAGAGCAAATATAGAAAGGTGTACAGTAAAGACCTGTGTAAAAGAACCATTATACTGAACCAATCACAATAAATTTATGAAAGAATACTGTTTGTGCCATGTACAAATACCATGTCAGGTTGACTAACAAAACTGTATTTTTAAAAAATTTGATTAACTTTTATTAGTTTTAAGGGCAGATATGAAGACCACCTATGGACCTCTTATTTTTATTAGAAAAGGAATATAAATTATTGTGAAACCCACTTGGATTGTTCTAGCTATCACTTTATATTTTATATTGTCAGACAATCAATAATTCAGCTAGCTTGGTTCTTATAATTATGGAGGTTTTTACTGTATTATCATGTATCATATAACTAATTAAGTATCATGATATAGGCATGTTATTGTGGGACCTTGGATGAATTTTACAAATATTATATAAATATACATCTTCTTGTTTTATCGTTGCATTTAATTTTAATCTGAAAAAAATACCCACAAAGTAGGTCAGATGATGCATGGATAATTTATTTAATTAATTAATTTACTAATTTAAAAGCACATTTTTACAGTTGCATACTTATTTGCATGAGTGTACATGACAGATTATTTTGATTAGATATACCCAGCTATAATTAACCTATGTTTTGTTTAAAAAATGCTGGAAAAAAATCTAAAAAGTTAGCCAATTGAAATAAATGCACATCAATAACCTGCTAAACATACTTGCTATTATTTGCATCTGTCAACGTACACTCATGCTTTTCCTTACCACTTGATTCTCCCACTCACCACGTCTCTTTATTACAATTTTTGGATAAAATCCTATTTTTAAAAAGTCAACCCTATACTTGATATGCTGAACATAGACATCCAAGATATCTTCTGCGGCGATTAGTGGGTGCAAATATTTGCATAGTTCTGAAGCAATATAACCAACATGTGCTCATCCAGTTCCATAGTCTACATCAATTGCTATTGCACTTGGGTCCCTTGGATTCAATGGCTCTGGCCGTATTCTTACAGTCACTGGTTTATTTTGTTCATGAAGAGCGAGGTATGCCTTTTCCAAATGATGTTGGTAGTTTTTCTCATGAGCAGCACCAATGCACTTGAATGGTATAGCGTGGGTGATTTCTTCCTCCTCATCACTTTCATCATCCCTTTCACTTAATTCATCATCACTTTTTGCTCCACCACTTTCACTTAATCCGTCATCACTTTCTGCCCTATCACTTTCTACAAAATCATAACAAATAACAAGAAAATAATTATTGCATAACTGTCATCTCTAAAAATAGCAATTTTTGCGCATGTAATTTCTAAAATTATATTCTCAAGACCTAAAAGAGTGCGTATTTATAGAACAACACAAACTTAGCAATATTTAGATGAAAATTGAAAAATATCAAACTACAGTTTGCAGATTTAAACAACCAGCTAGAACCAGATAAAACAGGCATACAGTATTCCAGCAAAAATTTATAAAACAAAACATACAAATATCAACAATGCCTTCAGTCTGTTCATACTCATCATCTGAATGTTCATCATCTGAATTATTCCTACTTTGTCCATCATTAAGATTGTCTTCGTTTCTTTCTGTTGGTTCTGGAGAATGTTCTCTTTCAGGAGTCTCGTCTAAAGGAGGTAGTAAAACCTTGTTAGTATCTGGAAAGTTAGAACAATTGCAACTTACCACATCCACGGCCAGCAATGGGGTCTCCAGAATATTGTCGAAATCAGGCACAACTGCAGCCACTGCAATTGTATTCGCTGTCAGTATATGATCCACATCAAAATCCCAAATCAAAAGCATATGCTGGGTGTTTTCATTAGCAAATTCATCGGGGATAGGGTCAAACTAAAGGGTTAAATAAAAATAATACGCCATAATTTGTACAGTGCACTTAGAGGTTATTTATAAAATTCAGTACAAATATATTGAAAACTGCAAAGCGCGAAAGCGGAAATTTGACCAAATACCAAGTCTAGTCAACTGTAATGCATTGTAGTATACCAACCTTAAATATTGCGCTTGTTTTCACGTTGATAATACAAGGAGATTTAACGCCATCCAACTTGGAAAGAAGACCCTCGCTATTGGGAATAACACAACTCCTTCGCTCGAACGGATTATCCATAAAGCTAAAATGACAGCACGTCCCATGCAATTTTAAAAAAGGTAAACTTGGTACAGTAAAACATAAGTCATAATGAGGATCGCAACAATACAGCAATAACATGCTATTTTCACGAAGTATCGCAGCCTGACACTCTTGTCGTTCGAAAGCTTCCATATTGATTTAGAGAGATGTTCACTCCTCGACAGTCAAAAGTCAATGAAGCGACCACGTGGAATTAGGCGCTCGATACCCATGATGCTTTGCGGCCTGCTGTCCAACCTCCTCTGCTTCCAGACGTTGGATAGACGTTGAAAAAGGATTGACTATGCAAATTGGATCGACGTTACTCTTTCGACGTTGAAACAACGTTGAAATTAGGTTGCCAATTTCGTCAACCATAATTCAACGTTGAATCCACGTTAAAACAACGTTGAGATTGGTTCACAAATCGACGTCGTACATTTAACCATGAATGAACGTTGATTCAACGTCTGTTGGCTGCTGTTGAACCAATGTTTTTAAAACAACGTCAGAGCAACGTAGATATTAGGTTGTCAACGTCGCAACCTTTTTTCTACCAAATTTCAACGTTGAAACAACGTCGTGTGCCCGGTGGGAAATGAGTCCATTAAAAACTATTATTACTCGACAATAACGTGGGCAATGGAAATAATTAACGTGGCAGCCACACGGATTTTGAGAATTATCCAGGACATGTTGACGAATCAGAAACGAGAATAAAAGATGTATAACAATATCACTTATTATTATACATTGTAGTTGGTTAAAGCAATTTGATTGGCTAAGAGCTTACAGTTAAATCGCGCAATCACGCAACCTACACAAAATTCAGTTGTCTGCTAACTCAGTTATCTGCTAGCAGATAACTGAATTTTGTGTAGGTTGCGTGAAATTGAATGAGTGTACATTTCAAATGAGTGTATATTTCAACATTTCAGTTTTCGAATGAATGTACATTTCATAATTGTAATGTTTACTTTAACAAGTAAATATTAAGTACGTTGACATCTTAACGATAATAGTATTAAAATAGTATTAAAATACTAATGTTTATTATTCTTCAATTGCAGGACGATAACAAGTTGTTGGAACAACTTGTAACAAGTCTGTTGAGCTCAACAACCTTGTAGCAAGTTGTCAACAAGCCGTTGACAACTTGTCAACAAGCTGGGAACAAGCAGTGCGAGCACATCCTGTTGACAAGTTGTTGGAACAGCATTGTTACAAGTCTGCTGCAGGTTTGTTACAACTTGTGCGTTTTTACGTGTGTACACTTGCTAAACAATTCAGATCTTATATTCAATGTATTAATTTTGTCCGATAACATAATCATTCTTTTTTCCTTGGTGCACAGAGAACAAACTTTCATTCCTGGGGAAACGGCTGGAACTTGCTTCATGACTGACCAATTTATTCGGAATGATTTGTTCTGCGATTTAAGACCCCAAGCATATTTCGAAAGTTCCGTCTCTGTCGAATAGCGCTCATTGTTCAATGATTTCAAATGATTGCTATATCGTAGCTTGAAAGGACCCGCCGTCATTCCTATATAATTCTTGACCACTTTCCCATTGTCGCTTGTAATCTGGGCTTTATACACAACGCTTCTCACGAGACAATTGCCGTTCAGAGGACATTTACTTTTAATTCTGCAGTTACACGATTTCGATGGAATTTGGGAGGGATTCTGATTCTTAAGAACACGCCGGTTGTGGTTTGAAATTGATGCTTTAATATTGTTCATGCATGAATAACTGACTTTGACAGAGTTTCGGTTGAAAATTTTATGTAGGATCGATGATTTGGGGAAATGCTTGTCTATTAAACGAAGGAAATTTTCTGCAACTTTCGTCTTCACGTTCTTGCTGTAGGGCGGATTGTACCAAATAATGTTTCTTGATCGGTTTCGTTTCTTGGGCTTACTACTATTTGTTTCATCGTCGTACCTTAGTTTGGTATTGAAATTGCTTTGCTTCAGTGCATCTTCGTATAAAGGAGCGGCTGAATCAAAACTCGGTTTGTCGGAGGAAAGGGAGGATATACGTTTATTAATTGACTTTGGGAGTTGTCTGATAATTGATGGTGGATGATTAGAACGGCTATCGATATAAATGGGATCATTATTTGGTTTTCGATAGGGAGTGAAGTTATTTTCTTTCAAGTTTAAGGTTACATCAAGAAAGTTCACTGATTGATGGCAGACATCAGCGGTAATCTTTAAACCGAACTGATCGAAAATGCGATGGAGTTCCTTTCTAGCCTTATCCGCCGATCTACCCTTGCTCCCTTTTACCAGCACTAAGCCATCATCCCTATACAGACCAACCATGTCATTCCCGAACCGTGACGCTAAAGTATTTAATATAAACAAACCAACAAGTTCACACACCTCAGCACCATCGTAGCTCCCCATGGCAACATCAAAAAGGGCACCGTCCGAATCATTGGTTTTACTCCATGTTCTCTCCCCATGGAAAAGAAGCGATTTACGTGCGTGTTTGATGGCAGTTTCTTCTTCCGGCGTGATATTTGTCATAGTTCTCGCCCAAGAAATTGCACTGTTCAAGAGATCTTCCGAAATTGATGGGTAAAACTCGTTAACATCGAAGGAAAGGAAGGAATCCAGCCGTTTCCCCAGGAATGAAAGTTTGTTCTCTGTGCACCGAGGAAAAAGGAATGATTATGTTATCGGACAAAATTAATACATTGAATATAAGATCTGAATTGTTTAGCAAGTGTAGGCATAGGAACAGTTATAAAGCTTCTAATTTCAAACGCGCGCGCGCAAGTAAACACAATCGTTTAAATGCTTGCGTCAGCAATCTA